TCAAAACTGGTAAGTAAACTCGTCTGCCTGGCTATCTGTTCATCTAAGTTCCTGTTTTAAGTTTCTGCATGTATCTGAAAGCAGAGGCAGACTTTTCAAAAAAGCACAAGCAGGCACATCTGTGCCCTAACTCAAGTCATCAGAAGGGCGATGACAGCAATGATGAAGCCCCTGCTTTCTACAGACCCAGGACTGTGTGCAAAGACCCTCCCATCCATCCTGCCAGGCTTCATCCCAAAGTGGGAGCCCTCACAGCCCCCACTGACCCTTACCCGCCTGTCCCAGATTTAGGCAACCGATGGCCTCCCTTCACCTTCAAAGTGGCAAAGATAAATCGTTCCGGCTACCTGACTCTTGGGACCACCTGTTCCAAATTATTCTTCACTCTCCCAATGTTTATAACCTAACCCCCATACAACAGCCCACCCTTAGCGATCCAGCACCTTCCAGTAAACTTGATTTGGACCTCCTACCGTAACATTTTAGGGCCCTGCCCCTGCCAGTAAATTTACTGACTCTTTTTAGGAACTGAAATGCGTAGCATTACAGTATCGAAGGAAAAAATCAAATTAGTTCTTGTAAATAAACATTTTCCTTTCCAGAACAGTACACAACCTGCTAAATATCATGACTCACAAAAGCTCCTATTTGTGTTTTCTAACTATCTAACATGATTTTTCTTCCATTTGAAACAACAACAAAAAACATCAGGGCAGTCAGAAAATAATTGTGTTCTGCACATTTAAACCATCCAAATTCAACATCTCTCCAAGGGAAACAGAGCAGCAATGTTCTCTGAGCCAAAGTTTCTTAGCATGTGGGTAAGGCACATTCTGCACAGGTCTGAAGGCCTAGATTCTAGTGTCACTCTCCCTGTGGCTTCTAGTGGGTCATTTGACTTGAGACCCAATCTCCTTGATAACAAAGTTGAGATAATAAAAATAATAATACCACCTAAACTCGAAGAGCTGTTGTAAAAACCCATCATAAAAATACATGCCAAGAGTTGACTTCAGGCCTGGCATACAAGTGCTAATAAAGGGCAGCTATTTTCATCATTATTATAAAATACGAGGATGTAATTTGCAAGTGGAGAGAAATGGCAGAAGCATCAATATGACAAAAGTGAGCAAAAAGAAAGAAAAGCAGCAAAAATAAATTTTAAAAAGCCTGTGGCTTTCTCTGTTCTCTTTCCCCTAAAAACCTGGCAGGCACTTTTCTACCTTGAAATTGATTTTACATCAGACGCAGTGAAGAAGAAATTTCGGCTCCTCTGATTCATTTACAGAGGACAAGTGGGTCTGAGCCACTCACTTCAAGTATCTGCCACCTGATTGAGGGGGTTAGTCCTCGGATTAGAAGAGGTGTTAGTCAAATACCATTAGGCCAGTTAAGATCTTCAAATAGTGAAAATGAAGCATTGTCTCAAGGAAATTCTCTGCTAATCGTTTCCCTTACCAGAACCTTCTTTTTGTTTTGCATGTTGGGACTGTTTGAACTGCCACAAGTGTCGGAGGGGTGGGAGGGTGGGGGAGTGGGCCATGCAGAAAGCTGTTATGATATTGGGGGATGGGGCTCAGGGAGGAAGGTGGGGAGGGAGTGAAGCATGGTGGGGAGTGTGTGTGAGTGTGTGTGTGTTTTCTGTCAACAGGCTGTGTTTTCTCAACTCCGAGGTTAATTCTCTGTAGAGATTCCTTTTGAGTGGAGTCCACCAAATCCTCTCCTTCAAAGCAGCTAGCTAGGGAAAAGTTTCCTTCTACCAACAAACCCCAGTCCTGGCAAGAGTCAGATTGTTCTGCCTTTGGAGGTCACTGAATAAACAGCCACTTCACTCCTACAAACCCCACAGATAAGGAGAACTACCTAATTAGGCAGAATTCCTCCCTCATAAAAAATATTTAAAGGACGAGGGTCTCCCCTCCCCCAGGGAATTCATGTCAGGCCAGAAAGCTGTGCATTTTATCTGTGCCCGAGTGAGAGACCGGTATGTTTTTACCCTGCCACAGGGAGGAAGCCTTCTTGCCCAGCCTGCACGCACACACGATATACCCTGTACACCTCAGACCTGTGGCCACTCTCTGCTATGCTTTTACTGCTTCTCCAAACACTTTTATGTTCAGGGGGCCTGCCCAGCAAAGACAAGACCCTACCCTAATGGCAACTTCCACCCATTCCCTTACAGAAGAAAAGGTGCCATTCAGAGTGTGCGTGGATATTTAGGGACAGGCAAATGTCTAAATAAGATTTCTCTAGTCCCTCTTCTTTTCCTCAGGACAGCCACAGGCGCTCTCTGTGCAGAGAGAGGCATCTGTCATGAGCTGCTGGGAACCCTACTTATGCCATAACGGCCTGCGATTTTATTATACAAGGAGTTTATTGCTGGTCTAATTAGTTTCAAACTGGGCATTCCAGCTGAGGACACCTAAAAAACATCTGGTGGAAAGAGCGAGAATGAGTCCTCGTTCTGAGCTGGTTACGGTTGAATTTCTGCATAACTCTGGTCTCTCGTGCCCGACGCCAGTTATCTTTGGAAAAGTAACTGAAAAAAATAAGGAAATGGCTTCTTCTTTGTGGAAAAGGAGTCATCTTGTCATGGGGGCACCAAAAACGTCTTAAAGAGAACATGCTTGGACTGTGTGTACTTTTTACAAACTGCTGGGGTCTCCATAGCTTGCTCAGCCTAATTCAAAATGTACCTTAGCTACATCGCAGAGCATTTTTATTGAGGACTTTTTCATTCTCCCAACAGCAGCTAGCATTTTATCAATTTATCCGTCTGGAACAAGGCTTGCAAACTCTTACATGCAATTTAAAGCAGAAGTTAATACCGCATATTTGAAACAGCATGTCTCCAGTGTTTTTGCCAAATGGTAATTCCATAACAAGTCAACAAATCATATCTCTTTATAATGTGTCTAATACAACACAAAAGGCATGAAAAGAAGATTCTAAAACTTAAGTGATTAAAATATCCAGTTTAAAAAAAAATCCCAAAGTAGTGAAATAACATTTTTTATTTTATTTCATTTTATTTTACTTTATTTCTTTTTGTTATATAATATTAGGAAAGTGATTTTTTTTTATAGAGTATTCTCATATACACTAGATCAGCTATTTCAAGACAGAGGGAAAACATTGCTAATTCCTTTAAGAAAAAAGTTAGTAACATTGTGAAGCTAAAGACACAGGAGAAGAATGGAGTCACTACTAGCTATGTAAGGGGCATAGGAACTGCTTCTCAAAGTTCAGGTCCTTTCAGACCTAGCTGCAGAGTTCTAAATCACAAAATTTAGTTTCCTCTGAAGCCAAGGAGATTCTGAATACAAACGCCATTTGAGGCTTAGTCAAAAGCAAATTTCAGACCATCATCATTTGTTAAATACATTTTTTATTAACTTCCCTTGGTCTGAGGATGTTTAAATGCAAGGAAGTATAAAATTTAAGGGGTTTAAAATGGTGGGGAGAGAAAAGTGAACATTTCTTGGGTAAGGTTGCCCAACAGAGTTTCTCACAAAATTACTTTTAAAAGGAGGTTTCTTTCATTCCATCTCTCTGTCTCTGTCTGTGTGTGTCTCCCTCTGTCTCTGTCTCAACGGGCCACAGGCTGGTAATGCCGCTGCTAGGTCAGTACTCATCCTCTGGTAGTAGTAGTAGAAATTTCACTCAAGCAAGAAAGGACTCACGAAATTAATAGATTCGGTTGGAAATACAATTGTCCACTGGTTATAATTTCCTTTGGAAGGGAGCTCCCGAACTCAAACATAATTCGCCACTCAAATTCTTACTTGATGTTTGTAAATCATTCCACCGCCCCTCTGCTCTTGCTAACAACACCCGACTACAATGTTCACTCATTTCACTGCACCTCATAATTAAAAGGGTACCTCCACCAGGGGTGATTTATAACTCAACGTTATAAAAAGCAATAATTAAGATTACATAGCATTTCGGGAGAATGGGGAAGAAAAGAAAATGGTAACTATAAAAACGCACATCAATCTTGCTTTTTACAAATAAGAAAGAATGCAGCAGCAGGCACACTAACTCCTAGCCCAGGCTGCGTTTCGGGGTAGTGGGAGCCTCACCCCTGCCAAAGCGCTTCACTTTCAACAGCTGAGAAATGCGCATTGAGGATTTTGCGATGCGAGTATTTTTACCAGCCGAGCTTTCCTAATATTCCTTGAGCTTAAGAACTATTTATTTGAGGGCAGGAAATATACTGAAGGTCCAGAGCCAGCACGGCCATTCAGCTTCTAGCCTGCATGGCTCAAAAACAACTCCATTCTCCAGTCTCCCATTACACCAAAACCCTCGCCTCCTTCTAAACCTCGTTGTATGCAGTTTTTTAAGTTTCAACAACTTCAGCAAGCGCCAGGCCGCCGGCTCCCGTCCGGAGCCCCGGGAGCGGCACCAGCGCAGGCCGAGCGCCGACGGGCTTTGAGAAGATAATGCATCAAGCCAGGGCTCGGAGGGCCGCTCCTGCCCATCCCCGGCATCCAGCGTTTTGCTCCTCGGCGACCCCATGAGCAGCGCCTGGGGGCGCGAGTCTGGCTCGGGGCTCCCGGAGCCTCTTCGGGCCGATTCCGAGAGCGCCCCTCAGTGTGATCCACCCGGGCCATAAAACCAACCGATCGCAGCCAGCCCAGCCGCGTCCACATCGCCTGCGCGCCATGCACTTGTCCCGCGCGCGGGAGTGCAAAGTTCTGGGTCGCTGCTGCCCGCCACGCGCACGGGGAAACTGAGGCCCAGGGCCGGGACGGACTTTCCCGAGACAGGATGTGCCCGCTGTCCCCGCTGTCCTTCTGCCTGAGGTGCCCTGGGAGTCCCGGGCGCCCGAATCGGCTCCTGCGCCCCCGAGCGCCCCGACAGCCGCCGAGGCCCCGGCTCGTCGAGCGCCCGGTGAGGGGTGTGTATGTGTGTGTGTGTGTGGGGGGGTGGATCGACGTGAGGGTGGCAGCCCCGGCCCGGCGGGACCCAGCGGGTGCCCGGGCGGTACTCACCGCGCGCAGTGAAGAGGGCGCCCCGGCGCGGGCGGGCGCGGGTCCGGTGCTGCCGGGCGGACTGCGGCGGGCACGTTGCCTCCCCTGCCGCCGCCGCTGCCTCCGCCTCCTAGGCTGCCGCGGCTGCTGCCTGCGCGGGGAGGACCGGCCCCTTCCCCTCCCGGGCCGGGCCCTCCCTCCGCCGCCGCCGCCCGGTCCCCGCGCCGCTGCGTGGGCGCGTGGGGGCGCCGGGGCGCGGGCTGGGCTCGGCGGGCGCACACCCCCGGCGGCTGCACGCGGCGCGGGGCTCCGGCCCTGCAGCTGCCGCCGCGCTGCTCTCTGCGCCGGCAGCCGCGCCCCCGCGCTCGCTCTTGCCGGTCCTGGAGGAGGCGAGGGCCCAGCCTCCTCCCCACTCCTCCTCCCTCTGCGGTCCAGGCGCGGCCCCTGAGTGAGGAGAGTCTGCTTGGAAGGAGCCTCCACAATCCCACTGACAGTCATTCATTCACCCCACAAAGGTGGAGCATCCCCCACGCCAGGTACAGCTCCCGAGGGGCTCAGCTGGAGCAAGACACACGAGTGTTCCGCCCGCCGGGGAGCTGACATTCAAGGGGAGACAGACCACAAACGGTCAAGGAAAGAGGCAAAACGATTTCAGAAAGTTGCAATTACTACGGAGAGGAAAAATTCTGTGCTGGCGGTGTGAGGACTGTAATCTTAGAATAATCAGGGAGGATCTGTCTGAGGAGGTGACAACTGAACTGTAAGAAAGTGCCGTTGCTGGTGATATCTGGGGAAGAAGGGTTCAGGGATCTGTCCCCGGAGACAGGTCTCTGGAACTCAACCGGGTCACCCAAAGTCAGTGGTACAATCACCTCCACACATTCCCTCAAACTGAGGCACCCCACTTGCTTCATCCTCTCAACGGCTGCCTCTTTCAATCCTCCCCACAAGGAACTGTCTGGAACGGGGTCTAGGCTGCCCACTCACCCACCCACTGTCCAATGTTTATGACCTCCGATGTGGGACACTTAGGATACGGCAATCCAACCACTGCCATTTGCTAAGCTCATTCAAATATAGGGTATCCAGTTAAATGTCTTTTGTGATAGGTGATACATACTTATACTCAAAAATTACTGTTTCTCTGAAATTCCAATATAGCTTCCTAAAATCTGAATTTGTTGTGATTTCTCAATTCAAAGAAATACTTTTGGACTCATGATTTTGTATTATTTTTCTTAAATAGGTTCCCCAAATTGTATATGCAGCAGGCCCCTCTGTGCCTGGATACACCTTTGGTCTCAGTCCGTCCCCTTTCTACTCCCCAAACTTCAGACAGAAGCAAATGTGTTCTGTAAGCATGATGTCCTCCTCCGTGAGCCAGGTAAGCATCACACCTGTTGCTCCCAGATGGAGATGATTCTTCTGCTTTCTAGAAGCAGAACATACAGAGGTATTTGGCCTTAATTGCCTCATCTCTAAAATGGAGATAACAGTACCCATCTTGTAGTATCATGACAACTCACTGAGCTCATGCTCATAAGACACTGTGACTCTAGCTGGCACTAGCAATCGCTCAACAAATATTATTACTGTACACACAATTTCACTTCCCATAGCATTTCTGCAAAAAGCTCAATGTCATTATAAATTGAGCATCTTAATGCTCTCCACAGGTATTTCATTTATCTTGGCCCATAAGCCTTAATATAATGTTGTTTAAACAGTGGTAGTAAGCAGGTTTCTTTTTTCTCTAAAGGAATAGAATGAAATAGGCTGGAACAGAAAATACTGAGTTGCCTGCAAGAGTAAGTGTGTTGAGTATGAGAGAGAGAGAGAGAGAGAGAGAGAGAGAGAGAGAGAGAGAGAGAGAGAGAGAGTGTGTCCTGGGTCAGGATGTGAAATGTCTTTCTTCTTGCAGATCATGGGGAAAATGTTGAGGTAACATTAACTAAAGGCACTCTATGGAATACAAAGGCTTCATCTGTTTCCTTCTAACCCTTTTTCTCCTTCACCAGAACCTAGCCCATTATCTCATAAATCACAGCCACACCCCGCAGCCCCCTGAGAGATAAACAGGAGGCAGGGCGTATTAATTTTATTTTTTCCCTTCTCTTAGGGCAGTGGTTCTCAACCCCCAGTGCACATTAGAATCTCCAGGGGAGCTTTTAAAACCCCCCACGCTAAGGCTCCAAACTACACCAATTAAACCACACTCTCTGGGGGAACGACTGAGGCATCAGTATTTTTTAAGGCTTCCCGGGTGATTCCAATGTTCAGCAGAGGGTGAGAACACCTGTCTTTGGGGAAATAAGGACTTAGCCACAGATTCACAGCAGATGAGGTGTAAGCTGAGATAGGATTTAAAGCTCCCAATTCTTACTCCAGACCACTTAAAATCCAGCCACCTCCCTGTGAAGGAGCACCCCCTTTCTGTCCCTTTCTTTCCCTTGATTTCTTCTTGTTAAATATCTCCTAATATTTGTCAAGTACTTGTCCAGTAAGTATTGGTTATTATTTGACCATCAAAATCACCCCAAAGTCGAAAACGCTAAACCACGAGGCGGATTCTTTGGGAGTGTAGAATACAAGCATGCCTACCCTGGAGTGAAACACTTCCTTTCCCCCAGAGTCTTCCAAGTAAATGTTCTCTGAAGCCAGAAGATCAGCTTAACTTTGAAAATGACAAGCTTTACAATGTATCTGACATTGTACATACATATCTTACAAATACACATGTATATTCCCCATGCCAAATCATGCTTTATTTCTATACACATTCCCTTCCCACCTGCAAAGATCTCCTCTACAGAAAAAGTACTCTGCTTTTTTAATGCGTTCATTTAAATCTTGGCTCCTTCCAAAAAGGATTTGAGGCAGCATGCAAAAACATATATATGTGCAAGCAGAATAAAGAAAACAAGAAAAGCAGGTGAAGGGGAAACATGGGGAGGAAAAGAAAAAGTCAAGAATGAGGTTTGTACACAAAATGTGCGTTAGGAGGTCTTGAGCATTTGTCAATGGTGGACTGATAATTAGATGCTGAGCTTCTGAGCAGCCAATGCAAAGAGGAAAATGTGATCAATTACATCAGTGGCTTTCAAATTTTCTTTGGTTCAAAAGCAAACAGAAGCTCTACATGGAAAATAGGGGTGAGGGATCCCAACCCCAGTCTCAACCCTTACACCTTTCTCCTGTGGGTGTTTGTAAGGGGTCTTGAAGGAACCCCCAAAGTTCTACAGATTGAATACCATGAATTTCAAAGTGCTTTACTGTGTTCATGATTCTTAATGCCTGTAAGATGGAAGCAAACAGAACTATTGGAACGAACCAGAACTTTGCCTGATATTGGTACAGGAGGAATGTTTTCTCATGGGTCCTTATAAAAGAGCAATACATGATACAGTATGTATATGGGGGTAAGGCAGGGGGCTTTTTGCAAACTCATGAAATATACAATACCCCTTCAGCAAAAAAGTAAAATCTCACAGTGTCTGTAACTCAAGAACACAAATACAAATATACTTTGAACATCTCCCTGCTAAACGGTCTCCTAATAGACTAGGTCTTTGTTTTGAATACCCAAACTTCATAGAAGGCATGTTTCTCACAATCATTTAGCCAGTATTCATAAAGAAAAACTTATGTTTGTATCCTCAAATCTCCATGTAGCATTTCTCTGGAAATAACATGTATAGAAATAACATGTCAATTATGTTGCGGGAACATCTGAACCACATTTTGAAAAGTGCGCCAAGAAGCAAAGGAGGGGCGTGCAATCAAGCTTGGCCATGTCACCATATACACATCAACTGTTTGTTGAAAATTTACGTTATTACTTGGTGATCAGGAAGCCATGCTTTAAGCATTTTACATCCTAATGAGCTTTTGATACTCCGTACATTTTAAGTGTTTAGTTCCGTTTTAGGAAATTGTTTTGAGGCTTGGGTTAACATGTCATGCATTATAATTTTTCCCACATAAAATAACAGGAAATCAACTTTTGTGTGTATGTTCAGGCAGAGCATCAGAATTTCAGCATCACCAATGCTCAAGAAGAGATGCTTATTCCCATGTGGAGAAAGACCTTCCAGACTCCCATACATGCTGTTTTTTCTGGGCCCACATTACCCCTCCCTGACAGTCCAGTGTCTTGGTTGTGGGGATGGTTTCATGGGGTATGTATATATGTCAAAAATGATAAACTTAAATGCTTTAAATATTTCCAGTTTATTATATTTCAATTATACCTCAACAGAAATGTTAAAATATTGTCACTTGAGTTTCCTTATTAATAGTCATATGAGTCAGAAGAGTCTCTTTATTAATACATTTAATGATAAAATCTAACAGCAGGCCTAGTAACTTCATTAATTTCAAAGTAGGGCTGAGCATAAAAGGTATTTTAAGGTACTTGAGACAACCATAGTAGGGTATGAAAATATTTGTGATTTCTACTGGTAACAGAGTCACAAGTCTGAATAACGCTACTGTGGTTTGTCACCACATTCATATTTGAAGTGAATGCTTACAGTTAGAGGTTGGTGGAAATAAAGATACTCTTTTCCCACCCAAGTTTACAGATCCCATAAATTCTATCCATGGACCCCCAGGTTAAGAAGTCTTAGTTGGAAGCAACTTTAGCCACTTGAATATAATTATCTCCCTAGAAGGTAAGCATCTGTAAATCCTAGGAATGTTTAGAGTTGATTTTGAAATGTTCCAAATGGGAAAGCAATTTTATCAGTAAGCATGTTTTAACTGAGAAACAATTCAGACATAAAATATTGGACAGGGTCAAAAATCATCATATTAATATTTTTTTTGAGAAGGAGTCTGTTCATATTTGGTAATTTACACACTTTAAGAGACATGTTGGTCAGAGTTATTGATTACAATTTAAACATAGTTGGATCATTCCTTAAATGCACAATTTTTAAGTCAAAATCTTACTAAGTTTATGTGCAATTATTGGAACACTTATGGGAATTTAACATTTGCTGTGTGTCATTTATTAGATTTATAGGAATTGATTAAGTACAAAAACTTGAAAAGAGAATCCAGAACATCAAACTTAGAATTACAGCTTAAAATGTTTTAGGCATTCAATTAGATAAACTTAATATGGCACTAAATATCAATCAATGACTTTTTTTAAACAATGGCTTATTTTGTTATTCTATTCTTAGAAATAGGATAATAGATTTGAAAAGGA